TAAATACCTTAGTATCATTATTAATCAATCATTTGACTATACTTTTATGCATTCTTGTTTTACAAGATAACCATAATTTACTTAATTTATTTTATAACAGTTCATATTATCATCCCAAATCTATCCTAAAATCATTTTGTAGTTATAATAAGAAGTACATCTTTATATATTTATTATTTTCTAAAAATCTACATATTTCGTTACTGTACTTTATTGTCTAACCATTGATAGAAAAGATCCCAAATTTTATACTCTTGTTCTCTAATTTCAAATGTCAATCTACTCATTTCAGCACATTCCAATATTTTCTTAATGATTTCCTCCTGTGATGATATTTTCTCATTTTTTCAGTTTTTAGCAAATACAATCCTAGCCGCTGTTAATATATTTACAATCAGGTATTTCAAGTCTTTACTATATATTTCAGATAAAATTCCCAATAAAAATATTTCTGGTTTCAAATCTATATGCTTTTTTGCCATTTTTTCCAACTACATGTGGATTTTAGTCCAGTATTTTTTAGCATCCGCACAAGTCCACCACATATGGTAATATGAGCCAGGTATCTGATGACATTTCCAACATTTTTCGGATTTATTCTTGAATATTCTTGCTATTCTTGTCAGGGGAAAGTGCCACCTGTAAAACATCTTATACAAATTTTCTTTATATGCTGTTGACATTGTCATTTTATAATTTTGAGACCGCAATTTTTGCCATTTCTCTAAATCAATCCCATATCCAAAATTCTTCCCCCAAGCAATCATAGTTTCTTTAACTTATTCTTCTTCTAGTTTAATTTCTAATAAATATCCATACAGTTTTTTAATCACCTTTTCATCAGTACCTGTCAAGTTGAAGATGTGGCATGAAAAGGCAACTGGAAACTACATGTTGCCATAGTAGTATTTGCATGGTTGCTTCAGGTGGTAAGGATAACCTTCTGAGGAACAATCTTGCTCAGTTGGTTCTTGACAATAACTCAAAAGGTCAAATCAAACAGGAAGGAAAGGGAAGATCCCAAGGGCATTATGTGTCCCAGGTCACATGAAATGTGAAATACATACATACAGGCTACTTAACAAAACTTAACAAAACAAAAGCTACTTAACTTTCTTCCTTTCTCTCTCTCTCTCTCTCTCTCTCTTTCTCTTTCTCTTTCTCTCCTCCTTCTCCTCCTCCTCCTCCTCCTCCTCCTCCTCCTCCTCCTCCTCCTCCTCCTCCTCCTCCTCCTCTCCTCCTCTACCACCACCACCACCACACCTTAACAACTGTCTCACTTAGGAACAGAAATGTTGGACTCAGTTGGTGGAGGAGGTAAGTCAAGAGTTACCTAGCTTTGGAATGTGTGATCATATCCCCAGCTAGTCTGTTGATATCAATCTCAGTCCTACCAATTTCTCTTCACAGGACTCAGATTCTAGTCTAATTTCCTGGGCATGAAGGTTATGGGATTTGTAGCCCAGCATATCTGAAAAAATCATCTCGGTGGAGAAGGCACCCTTGGTGATTCAAGCAAGAAGAAAACATTCTGACCATTCCCAGTCAAGTATGAGTGATGACATCATTGGACCTTTTGTGAAGCTTTCCCCCTTCTTACAGATTCTGGAACCCAAAGAGAAAGGAAGCCATGGTGGAAACCATCCTAGAAACGTGGACAATTGTCTTGGTGATCCTTGCCACAGTGTTAATCATGACTATAATGACGTTTCTCCTTCCCGCTGTGGTATTGCTCTTGAGGATGAGGTCTTTGTCACAGATATCCTTAGATGGAACTGTCTAACCTGCCTCTTTACACAGTGCTGGGTGGTTTTTAGATGCTTTGGACTGCTTGGGAATTAAGACCAGGAAGAGGAAGCAATCTCCAAATGTGTGTGATGTCTCTCTTGGATGACTCCTCTGACTCTTCCTTGGGCTTGAGGGAGGATAAGCTCATTCCTGGCATGTCAGGAACTGGGATAATTAATGACTCTGAACAGCTGGTGGAAAGAGAGTTATAGGGAGCTGGGGGACAGTTTGCAAGTCAGCGAAGAGGAGGAGCTGCCTTCTGTGTTAGAGAGCACGCAGGGCAGTGAAAAGACAAGCGCAAAGGAGATCTGCCAAATTACTTGGGAGAAGGCCCTGCCTGTCTTGATGGGCTGCACCGGAAAACCGTTTATCATGTCAGCACAGAGGGAAGGCTGAGGGGAATCAAATCCTTCCTAACAGTAGCTATAAATATTGCACTTGTGTGTATGCATATAGATTATATATAGATGAATATGTAGATTTAGTGCAGGAGAAACCATGTCTCCCCCCCCCCACCCAAAAAAAAAATTCAATGTAAATATGAAACTTTTGCAATTAGGAAAAACATCAGAAGAAAGTGAGAGGTTGCAATGAACTTTTATGCTTTCAGTTCTTCACTCTGTCTTCCTATCACATAATGTGTGATCAGACTGTGGTTGGAAATGATTACAAAAAAAAGAAAAAGAAAAGAGGAAATCCGCTGATGAGATTTGGATAGATTGCTGATCAAAAAGAGTTTCCATTGTCCAGGCACTCAACAACAGTTAAAATAGAATAACAGAGTTGGAAGGGACCTTGGAGGTCTTCTAGTCCAACCCCCTGCCTAGGCAGGAAACCCATTTCAGAGAAATGGTTATCCAACATCTTTTTAAAAACTTCCAGTATTGGATCAACCACAACTTTGGGAGGCAAATTGTTCCACTGATTGATTGTTCTGTCAGGAAATTTCTCCTAGTTCTAAGTTTGATGCTGGTTGTGTCCATAAAGTTTGCATGGACATAGTACAGAAGTGGTTTGGCGTGGCCTTCTGGATTTTTCCCTGACTTCTATTAAGGGCTATTTAAAATTGCCTCCAGTTTTATCATTTCAGCATGGTTGTCTTTGGCTTTAGGATTACGGGATTGCATATTTTTAGGATTACCAGTAGCAATATTCACCTTGGTGGATGACTAAAAACTAATAAAAGCCCACTATACTCCCAAACTGACAGTTTACATAGCCCTAACTGTTCATTTTACTTGACAATGGGTTGTGACAGAGGTTTTCTGGGATTTTTTCCCCTATCCTAGGGCATTAATTCTGCAGTCCTAGTTTTGTCTGGTGGTCTCATATTCCTATACTGACAAAACCAAATATATTCCATTCCCTTTGGCCCTGAATAGGTTTTTAAGCCTTCAGTTTGACCTCAGCTGCTGGTAGCTTCATGGACATCTTCACATAGTTATCATGGGCCAAAAAAAATCGAAGTGGTCTTCAACTCCCTTGTTCTAAGATGTTTCTTCAACAATCAAGGATCAGGATCAGGCATGCAAGGAATTGATGGCTTACATATTAACATTTGCCAATAATTTACTCTGAGTAGTGGGATTTTAGTCTGTGGTTTGCTTTTCTTCCTCGAGCCCTTCCTGTAATACTTCTCATCTGTCAACCAAAGGTGTCTTACTGTAAAGATAAAGAATTCTTTGACCAACATTCGACTTGTGCTGACTTTATAAATACATTTAATAAATAAGTAGAGAGGCCTGCATACTTTACTTTGGGTAGGACTCTTGCCTTTTCCTTGGGCATGTTTACTTTTTTACTTCCCAGTTCAACCTACAGCCTTGGATCTCCAAGTGTCACCCCCAAGTAGATCTGATCCTGCTTAGCTTTTTCCAAGGCCCACTTCAACAGAATAGATTAGCAGAGTTGGAAGGGACCTTGGAGGTCTTCTAGTCTAACCCCCTGGCTCAAGCAGGAGACCCAACACCATTCTGGACAAAGGGCTGTCTAATCTCTGCTTAAAAACTTCCAGGGATGGAGCACCCACCATTTTTAGAGGCAGTTTTTTCCGCTGGTGAATTGTGCATTTCAGTCTAGCCTTCGGCATCCATTGGGAAGTTCAAGGGCCAAAAACATCGCAACCACAATGCAAATGTTGTGACTCGGATAGTCCCGTCCAAGGTCGGAGCACAAGTACAAAAGGGCAGAGTTTGCATTTTGACACCACAATGTCCACTTTGGAACATTTTCTCCATCACAGTTAGAAGCTGGTGTCTTTACTGGAATCCCCGACAACCTTTTTTACTCAGGTATATGGCAGGTTTAATCAACCTCCGAGATGAGACAAGGTCGGCTTAGAGGCATTTTTTTTCTTTTTAAAAAGAACACATTTAGTTTGACCCAACCTCACTGAAAAGCAACTGTCCTTCCTAGAATTGTCCAAGCAGTTTTGCAGGTTGCAGTCTAAACTTCCTATGTTATTTTAAAACTTTTGGGTTGTCACACAGGAAGTGCAAATCAAGCGGGATCTCTGGGGTTGGACTAGAAGACCTCCAAAGGTTCCTTCCAACTCTGTGGTTGTCTTATTCGGTTAAAAACTTGACTAAAGGTTCCCCTTGCACGTCTGTGCTAGTCGTTTCCGGCTCTAGGGGGCGGTGCTCATCTCTGTTTCAAAGCCAAAGAGCCAGTACTGTCCAAAGACATCCCCGTGGTCATGTGGCCAGCATGACTAAATGCCTTTGAAGGCGCACAGAACACTGTTACCTTCCCACCAAAGGGGTCCCTACTTTTCTACTTGCATTTTTTACATGCTTTTGAACTGCCAAGTTGGCAGAAGCTGCTGGGACAACGTTACACAGCGCTAGGGATTCGAACTGCCAAACTGTCGACCTTTCTGATCGACAAGCTCAGCGTCTTTGCCCCTGAGCCACCGCCTCCCTTTAATAACTTGACTAGGTGAACCCTAAACCAAGCTGGGCTATGCTGCCATCTCCTGGCCAAAGATCATGAGCGTAGCTGGTTTTGCAACAGATTTTATTTAAAAAGTCCTTCCGCTTCAGAGGGAGAGGCGCACTTCATTTCATCAGATGTGTGGATGGAAGTGAGAGGGAGAGCCCACAAACCTTGGTGCCTTTTGCACTTGTTGGCAGAAGAGGTTCTACCAGATTCCTGATTTCAGAAGAACCCAACACTCCTCCTGCAGGGTAATTCAAGAGGGTAAGCGATCTACCATCCCCTGAAATTGAAACTTTATTGAAATGTAATTAAAATTATGCACTTTAAATACATCGTAAAAGTGTCCTTTGCAGCCTTTCTCTCTCTCTCTCTCTCTCTTTGAAAATCTCCCCCTGCCAGACAACTTTGATGGTGATGAAGTTCGGATATGCAAGAAATAACCTAAACATCAGAAACGGCAAACCATCAACGCCAAGAGAGATTTTTGCAAGCTACCCATAAGAGAAGCGGGGGGAAAAGGAAGCCTATTCCAAATTTTAAAAATAAAAGACCTGCCAAGGCACTGATAGGATTTTTTTTTTCCAAGGCTGGGAGCAAACTACGCTTGTAATCCTGAGACAGAATTGTGATTGTTATGACACCAGCCTGTAACCTCTTAATAATAGCAATTGATATAGCACCATGGAGCATATGTGATGCTTTACACCATAAAGTAAAATACTGAATCTGAACTCGGAGGAAATGATGCACAGAAAAATCCTTGCACAGACGATTTCTTTCCCTCCTGATCCCAAGCAAGGGAAGCATTCCTTAGAGGCGATCAGAGGTGGGATTCAGCAGGTTCTGACCAGTTCTGGAGAACCGGTAGCAGAAATTTTGAGTCGTTCGGAGAACCGGCCAATGCCACCTCTGACTGGCCCCACCAACCCCATCTATTCTCTGCCTCCCTTTGAGTTCCAGCAGATCAGCTGGGTCTTTTTTTGTTGTCTTGCACAGGAGAATGGAGCTGGAAAGCAGGTTAGTGGGGTGGGGAGGGAAGGGGGATTTTGCAGTATCCTTCCCCTGCCACGCCCACCAAGCCACATCCATAGAACTGGTAGTAAAAAACATTTGAATCCCACCACCGGAGCCGACAGTCATATTTCAAGAAACACAGCCTATAAGGCAGAGTTACGCATCTGTATTCGTGTTCCCAGTTGAACTAAGGAGCATCCAATGGGACTTGAAACCAATTTGTTTCTGCAGAACCATTTCTCTAGCTCATGGGAGATGTTCCTCTTTCTGCCTGTTTTTTTTTTTTGAATTATTATTATTCTCCCACCCTTTTTTCTATTTTTAGAAATTACTCAAGGGTGGTGAACAGATCTAGTATTCTTTCTTCTTCCTATTTTCCCCACAACAATTCCGTGAGGTGAGTTTGGCTGAGAAAGAGGGACTGGTCCAAAGTCATCCAGCTGGCTTTCATGCCTAAGGTGGGACTAGAACTCACTGTCTCCTGGTGATTCACTGAAAGTCACCCAGCTGGTTTCCTCACCTAAGGCAGGACTAGAACTCACCATCTCCTGGTGATTGGTTCAAAGTCACCCAGCTCACTTTTATCCTTAGGGAAGGACTAGAACTCACCGTCTCTTGGTGATTCACCAAAACTCACCCAGTTGGTTTCCTCACCTAAGGCAGGACTAGAACTCGCAGTTTCCTGGTTTTTAGCCTGAGGCCTTCACCACTAGACCAGATTGGCTCTCTCTTTCATTACTGGTCCAAGATGTTATTCTGATCGAAGCAAACACATATCCTAGCTTTTTGGGTCAGTACACAGTGGTGATATTTTAAGTTAAACTCCTGGGGAAATGGTTCTTCTTCCCCCACTTCCCCGAGTCTGGTCTCCATGGGTGTCATTCCAGACACTCATTGCTTGACCAGCAGAACTCAAGAGCCATTCTCTTCCCATGCCCGTTTCCTCCTTCCCATGTCCTCCCTTGCCTCTTGCCACATTCATTCTACTGCTGAGAGTTTCTCTCCCAGTCAGGTGAATATCTTGAGCTTACCTTTCAATCACGCCAACTCAACCGTTGGCCAAGAGGCGCTCCTTGTACACTGCTATTCTGGCAATCTTTTTTTTTTTTTAAAGATGCCTTTTGTATCTAAAAACCGTTTAGGATGGGCTCCAGAATCACCAGCATCATTTAGCCGTATTGATAAGTCACCAAGCATGCATCTAAAATGTTTGCTTATGCAGGTAGTCCTTGACAAACAACTGATCACTTCGTGACCCGTTGAAGTCACAACCGACCCAAAAAAGGGGACTCGCGAACCAGATTCAACATTTTTTGAGTGTTGGAACCACCCTTCGGTCTTCAGAGGTTGGCAACATCTCGCTGTATTTACAGTTATTTATAGCCTCCCTCAGTCATGTCACCGTAAGGGTTTTGCTGAAAATGGGTACTTCCGGTTTTTTTGGACAAAAATTTCTCACGAGGGAACCATGGGCTCACTTAATGACAGTGGCTTCTGCTTAACAACTGCCACATTTGCTATATGACTACAGCTTTCATGACTGTTATGACATGTGACCGTAATGGACAAGCTCCTTTATGGTCATTTGTGAAGGACTATCTGGAAGGCAGTTGAGAAAAGAAAGAGAGGAAAGAGCAAGAAAAAATTAAATGCACATTGGAGCAGAATTAGTGAAATGTGGCAGAACCCCCCTTGAAAAAGATGCGTCTCCAATCTAGGGGAAATGTTCTGTTTTACTCCAAGAGTAACTACTCCTTGTAGCCCGGGGAAGCAGGATGCCAGAACCTTTGAACAGTCTTGTTGCAAAACGTCGAGAAATCATATCAAATCTGAGAAAAATTCTTCCGATTAGTTGTTTAGAAAGATGTAGTAGACTCGATGGCTTGGAAAAATAAAAATAAAAAAGTCTATTGTCTGATTGTAGGTTTAAGTCCCTTCTTGTCTTTTCCAGTGGAATTTCCTCCCCTATCCCAAAATAGCAGCATTAGACAAAATTAAAATGACATCCATCTGCCCCCAATTTATCCTCTGTTAAGTCTGCGTGGGCCGATATGTAGTGAAAGCCAAAAGGGAACCTTTCTCCGTTATTATTATTATTATTATTATTATTTTTCTTCAGCACTGACAATGGTCAATGGAAGCACCCAGGGTAATAAAATACTGTTCCTTTGAAATGGAGAGAGGTTGGCCCAAGAAAGTTAGAAGGCGAGCTTTTTGGGAACTTCCCAAGAAAATTCACTTCTTCCAAAATGGCCGTAACAAGCCGTCTTCTGATAAATGGGCTTCTTTAAATCCAGATCCCTAAATGTAAAATAAATAAATAAAGTTATTAAAGTTGGAGGGGGGGGTGTTCCTCCTTCCTTTGATGTAGTCTAACACAGGTAGTCCTCAACTTACGACAGCTTATGGCCATTCAAAGTTACGACGGCACTGAAATAAGTGACTTAGGAGCGTTTATCACACGTACAACCTTTGCAACACCCCCGTGGTCCCGAAATAGAAATTCAGACACTTGACAAATGACTCGCGTTCATGTCCTGGGGTCCCCTTTTGTGACCTTTCTGGGCAGGCAAAATCAACGGGGAAACTAGATAAGGCAGTCACTCATCCTCTTTTAATGACCCCATAATCCCTTGCATTGGGGTGGTGTCTGGGCAACTGAACGGAGCTGGGTGTTTATTGGCCGGATGCCCTTCCTGTCACCAACGTGGAGTTTTATTGTTCAGCAGATATATTCTCAGTGTGTCCAGAGAGAGAAACATCTGCCTCTTCCTAGGATCGAACTCACAGCCTCCTGATTGTGAGGCAAGAGCTCCACCTCCAGGCCACCGCAGCCACTGATATCCAATACCCGAGGAGTTTCCCTGCCCCACATATATTTATCTGACAAGCTATGAGACAAAAGTGTTGAACAGGCAAACTTTTCATTGGCATCTTGCTGACCATTCCCGGGCCAGAACACTGACTTCAATAGGCCTCTTGGTTCATCCAGCAACGTCGCTGTTATGAAAGGAGATACCCCGTGGTGGGATTCAGCTGGGAGAGCTGGTTGTTAACTTCCTGAGCAGTTTGCTGAACTGGTTCCTGGAGGAAATCATTAGGGCAGGGAACCCGGTTGTTAAAATTATTTGAATCCCACCACTGGAGATACCACAAGCCACTGCCACGACAAAACTGCTTTAAAAGGTCCAGGTGTACATGGAGTGAGTTACTAGTCAAGGTTACATTTTTTTTTTAAAAAAAGGCAGCCACCGTGATCATTTTGATAAGGGAATTTATATACACCTGTTTCTCTTCTGGATCATTCTGGGCCAGAAGAAAGCATGAGCTTCTTTGAAGGCCAACCTTTCCTTGTGACGTTCTCCGTGAATCTCTGGAACATTTTGTCCTACAGATGAGTCGACCTTCTTACTCTTTCAGGCTCTCGTTTGGATAATTAGCCCTTTACTGACAAAACTGCTGTCACTCCTATAAATCTACCCCTTGTCAGAGGTCAGGTTTTCAGCCCTGGAACTGCCTAACATTTGAAACCAAGGCACTTGGCCAAATGGGAGCAAGAACTATTTGAAGAGGGATTCCATGTTGAGCGTGAAACCGGAACCCGCCCAGATTGACATATTTGAAACGGTTTATCTTTCTCTCATTCTCTCTCTCATTCTCTCTCTCTCTCTCTCCAGGACCCAAGGATGGGAGAACACACCATAAACACTTCCCAATCAGAGCCTGATTCTTTGGGGGAAACTCGGAATGGAATGGAAGGAAGTCCAGATTTTTCATTCAGTTCCCAAGACTAGGAAAGCAACAGTGCCCCAACCTTCATTTCTACTCTGCCCCAAAATGACACACTTACTTGACAATGGCTCCAGGTCGAAGGTCAAAATTTTGGTGGACAATGTTGAGAAGCTCTTGCTCAGTGTAGGCAGAGGTACCATAGGTGAACAAGGAGATGGACAGTGGCTCGGCCACTCCAATAGCGTAGGCAACCTAGGTGGCGAGAAGAAGACATTTTGAGGCTGGCTTCGTGCGTGTCATCCACAGATTCATTTGGTGGCCACTCCTTTAGTCTAGGGGGGTCTTCAAACTTGACAGCTTTTAAGACTTGTGGACTCCCAGAATTCCTCCTCCAGTCATGTTAGCTCAGGAATTCTGGGACTTGGAAGTCCACAAGTCTTAAACTTGCCAAGTTTGAAGACCCTTGCATTAGTTGGTGAAAAGGTGGGAGGTCCAGGTTTTGGGAAGGAGGGAGAAAACTGTCCACGATTGCCCAAAGATTCAAATACAGAATGGCATTAATCACTCAGGAAGAACAGAGGACCAATTTAAATTTTAAAAGTTGAGGAGATACACAGAAGTGATTACAACTGAATTTTTTTAAATTTGTATTCTCTTTCTGGATTACAGTATTGAAGGATGGATGGATGATAGACAGGTGTGTGTGAGAGAGAGAGAGAGAAAGATGGAGAGAGAGACAGAGAAAGAGATAGAGAGAGAATACAAAGAAAGAGATTCTTTGAATACTACTAAAAATGATACAAGAATAGAAAAAATAGTGTACACAAACACACATTGTACAGCAAAAAAAATCGATACTAAACAATCTAATTTTTCAAACTGTATTCTATATACTGGATTACAGTATTGAAGAATAAATAGAGAGAGAATTAGAAATAGATGAGATAATGATAGACAGATAGATGATAGACAGATAGATAGATGATAGACAGACAGACAGACAGACGGTAAGACAGATAGACAGAGACAGACAAGGTGATAAGGTGATAGATAGGAGAGAGAGGGAGGGAGGGAGGGAGAGAGAGAGAGAGAGAGACAGAGCGTGATGTGACAGTTCTACTACTAGATATCTGGTCTTATGGCTGTAATAAATTGGTTTTTATTTGATTTTACGACTATCAGGTTAGCAAAAAGTCTCTTACCTGGACCAGAACCCGGCGACACAGCCTTGCTTTCACCAAAGATTTGGCCACCCACCGGGCTGCGTAGGCTGCCGATCGGTCCACTTTTGTGTAGTCCTTGCCTGAGAAAGCTCCACCTCCATGGGCTCCCCATCCACCATAAGTATCCACAATGATTTTCCGGCCAGTAACTCCTGCGTCACCCTGCAATATTGCAAGACCAAACGTGCCAATCTCGGTTTTTACCAGGTGTTTTTGGGAAATGTTTCATGATAGCCCCCTCCTCTCTCTCTCTCTCTCTCTTAATCTATCTATCTATCTATCTATCTATCTATCTATCTATCTATCTATCTATCTATCTATC